GAATTGAGATTTTTTTTTTCTTTCTAATTTTTTAGAGATAAGGCACAAAAACATTAACCTCATATATATATATATATATATATATATATATATATCATCAACTTCTCTTACTAAAATAATTCCATCTTGATTTCCATCCTTTAAAGTGGTCATGCAAAAAAACCGAAAGGATCAAAAGTTTTCGATCATGTGGGTGTGCTAAATTAATCAATCAAGACTTCTAGAAGTGTTTTTTTTTTTTTTTCCCTTTTTTCTTTTCCATATACAATTGCATGCGATTAAAGCCAGCTTAATTATGATCAAAAGTTTTCGATCATGTGGGTGACAAACCCTTGCCACAATTATCGGGGGTATGGACTCTGGATCTAGGGTCAACCGGAAAAAAAGGGCATTTCTCTTGTTTGGTTCAAACAACCCACGGTGTTTCTCCGCCGTCCGATAGGGTTCTTTCCGCCAAACCAGTTGGCGGAAGGTGCGATTACAGCTCATAGTGGTGGATTTTAACCGTTCGTTTGATTCTCACCGCGTAGTTGTACGTATACATAGGTTCATAATGCCCATTTTAACTCCTCGTTGACCATCATTAAAGGATTTTCACCAATTTCTTTTCTTTCGTTTTTTGTACAATTGAATGGAGTTTAGCTGTATGGATACAATGACACTTACTATTGAAACTTTAATTTAGCATCAAGATTAGATATTTTAATTTATGTCTCTTTTAGAAATATGCCATGTAATTGTCTCTCGATGAAGGCATTACATTTTTGTAAATGAGTTTTTCTAAATTGAGTTTTAAAAGTGTAATGGATACATTTTTTTACAATATTAATTGGTGTTTAAAAAAGGTAAAAATTTAATTTTGTTTATTTAGTCAATTGTTTAATTAAAATAATCCAGATGGTATGCATAATAACTTTTATATTTTTTAATATCATGAGAAGTTTTGAGCTTTCATCTGGATTGAAGATCAACTATGCAAAGAGTCAATTAATGGGAGTCAATGTGGAGGAGGAATGGTTAGCAAAGATGGCATATTTGCTGAACTGTAAAAAGGGTGGAATACCATTCAAATATCTGGGTATTCGGGTGGGAGGGAACCCTCGAAGTGGAATATTCTGGAGGGAATTGATAGAGTCTTTTCACAAGCAGCTGTCGAGGTGGAAAGGCCAGCAACTATCTATGGGGGGTCGGATTACTCTCATAAACTCTGTGCTATCTTCATTACCCGTGTTCCAAATGTCAACTCATTTTCTTCCAAAAGGTACGTTGTCTATCTTGGATAAAATTAGAAGGCAATTTCTATGGGGAGGTTGGGAAGAGCATAAAAAAATAAATTGGGTTAAATGGGAGTCGGTATGTAGAAGAAAGGATGAAGGAGGGCTAGGTGTAAAGGACCTTAGGCATTTTAATGCAGCTCTAATGGGCAAGTGGTGGGCAAAACTGGCAGGGAATTCAAATTCCTTATGGTATAGAGTGATTAGAAGTAAATATGGGAATCTGGGTGGAAATTGGATGAGCTGGGTAAAAGAGGGCAAGGGTAGAGGGTCAAAATGGTGGCAAGATATTTGCAAACTAAATGATCTAATACCAGGGAGAGAAGGGTGGTTGGAAGATAATTTTAAGTTAAGTATAGGAGAGGGAAAGCGTGTGTGTTTTTGGCAAGATAATTGGCTAGGAACAGGTCCTTTGTCTAACCTATATCCTAGGCTATTTGTATTATCAACAGGGAGGCATAATACTGTCAACCAGATGGGGACATGGATAAGCGGACAATGGTCATGGAGCCTCCAATGGAGGCGAGAGTTGAGGACATGGGAAGCTGCAACAGAAGATGAGCTAAGAAGAATCCTTTCGAGAGTGCAACTCATACAAGGGAAAAAGGATAAATGGGAATGGAGCTTCGACACAAAAAATGGCTACTCTACAAATGTAGCCTATAAGCTTTTAACATCACCCCACAATGGACTTCAATTGGAAATTTACAACAAAGTTTGGAATACAATGGTCCCAAGCAAGGTTAGTGCATTAGTTTGGCAATTGATTCAAAATAAATTGCCAACAAAAAGCGAGTTATTTAAGAGGGGGGTATTGAGGAGCTATAATGAGATTACATGCGACCTATGTGGAGAAAGGGAAGAAACAGCTACTCACTTGTTCTTACACTGCAAATATGCACATAAAATCTGGAGTATGTGTTTGAAGTGGTGGGGAGTTCAATCATGCTGGCCGGGGAGTTGCTGGGATGCATTTCATCAGCATATGGGTTTCTTTCTAGATAAACAGACAAAACAAGGGTGGGAGGTTATATGGTTTGCCTGTGTTTGGTCCATTTGGTTGTGTAGAAACAATCGGATATTCAAGGGGAAAGAACTTGAGGCTGCAAGGGTGTTTCAAGTTATTCAGATTAGATCCTGGGAATGGATAAAAGCTAAAAAAAAAAGGGTTGGGCAATTCTACTTACAGATTGGATGAGAGACCCAAAGGTATGTTTGAGATAAGGGTGGTAGAAAAGAAAAGGACGTGAATGCATAAGAATAGGAGTTTTTGGGTTCAAATGAACATATTTTGAAAATTGAGGGCCTAAATTGCAAGAAGGAAGGTGTTATCTTGGGACCTAAGTGAATGAATATTGAGTTTTGGGATCTAAATGCTCAGTATTCAAAATTTGAAGGACCAGTTTTGCAATTTTACCATTGAAAAATTGCAAAAGAGGACAGAAACCCGACACGGGTGTGGTGTCGACCCATAATTTTGGTGTCGACACCTTACGGCAAGCATTCAAAATCACAGTTTCTGTCTCTTATTCTGCGGCAACAAAGTGCAGGCTAAAGTTTTTTAACAACTTGAAAGTGCTCTTGTGTTAATATATCAGAATGGATTGATCTTGTAAATTTGTGCCTTTCAAGTTAAAATATTTATGGGTTTGGGGTACCCCTTGTACTCCGTTTTTAATAAATATTATTTTTTGCTGTTCAAAAAAAAAAAATATTTTTTAATATCAATTATTGTTTAACAAACATATTAATTATACTCTTAAAGACACATGTTAAAAAAATCCTTTGTAAATTTTTATCTTATTATTGGAAAATGATTAATATACACTTGATTCAATATATTTTTTGACATTTATTTGATTTAGTCATTAAAAATATAATATAAATAAAGTTGATTGAAATTGTTCTTTTATCTTATGTGTAGACTTCATTTTTAAATTTATATACTTTTAATTTCATATAAAAAATAACTATTTTTGAATAAATATATTGTATAGTGTATTGATATCCTATTTAATTACCTGATCTATTTCCCATAAAATTGAAGTGAAATTTAATGGAGGGCAGGTGTATGGTAAATTAATTAGTAGGTTGACATTACATATATACCTAATTAAGTTGTTAAGAAGGGTATATATTGGCTTGGATTATTTCAACATACCATTCACAAGCTGGAGGAGGAAGTCCCCGGGGCTTGAAATATGAGTTGTAAGTCTTACAAACCACTTGGTGGGTGACACATCAGAAAGCCACATGGTAGGGCCCCACTAATTTAGTGTTTTGTTTCACTACTAGGAATGGCATTTCAGCCTTCTTCCATTTACCACAAACAATCCAATTTGGGGATAATATAGGACATTTAGGAGCCCATTTGCAAAAACTGAAAAGCTACGTTTAGATTCTGTAATTAATGTGTAAAAATAATTGAGAAAAATTAAAATTAAAATAGTTTGTTATTTAAAATGTTGAGAATGCCCCAATGACCTAGTGACTTAGTGATTATTGCTCCCTTATTTGGAACTTCTCATATTAAGATTTAGATGTGTAAGTTCAAGTATCACCCTTAACATTCAAAAAAAATATTAATATTTTTTATAAAATTATTTAAATATTTTTAATAAAATTTAAAAATATAATGATTTATTAAAAATATTTAAATAATTTTATAAAAATTATTAATATTTTTAATTATTAAGAGGTCCTGATTTTTTTAAAATTTGAAAAAAAATTTAAAGAAAAAGGCTTCTGTAGGAACCACTGGAAAGCAAAAGGAACATTTTTAATCCCGCACTTACTGTTCCATTGAAACTAACGCAACTTGACCCCCCCCCCGGGGCTCTTGCCCTATATAAATATATATTTTTTTTTTTCACAGAAAAAGAATTTTATTTGATGGAGTACAAGGTGTACTCCTGCCCTTGTATACAGAAAGATCACTGAGCATCCACTGACTACAGCTAACAATAACTCACAAGATCGTTTGACAGCAAAATGAAACAACCAAAGTCAAATACCTGCTCAGTGAGACATACCAGGAAAACGCCAAAACAACCAATATCATGGAGCCTACACATCACCTGGTTGACCTGAGGCATGGAGCCTACACATCACCTGGTTGACCTGAGGCATGGAGCCTACACATCACCTGGTTGACCTGAGGCATGGAGCCTACACATCACCTCGTTTACCTTTGAGGCTTAAAACTTGGTTCAAGCATCCACTCATACAGATTTAAAGAATATCCCGTTGTCCTGCCTTTTATCCAATTAAACGCTCTTAGCTGCACTAATTCAAAGATTCTGTCCACATCCCACTCTTGGTTTCTGAAATTTTTTGCATTTCTTGCCATCCAAAGGGACCATATGGTGGAGAACCATACCACATCCCACCCAGCTCTTACTAATGGGTCTTTGGCAGGGGTCTGTGTTGCTCTATATAAATACCTTACCTCCCCTTTCTTCATTCGTCGTGGGATTCACAGTTATGAGAGCTCAATAGCTATAGCCTCCCTTGTGAGAAATACTAACTCTTTTTTGTGAGAAAGAGAGGGGTGGGGAGAAAAGCACATAGTATTTAGTTTCATAACACCAAACATGGCCTCTCACTCCATTTGGGCTTTTGTTTTTGGCATTCTTGGTATATTTTTCTTCCTTGTTTTCCTCCTTGTCTAGTTTCACCATGAGCATTCATTTTCATGAAAAACTAATTGTATTTGTATCCATTTTCTTTTAGGTAACCTCGTCTCCTCACTCGCTCCATTGTAAGTCTTGGTTCAAGTCTTTAATCATTCTCTCCTGGTCATCGCTCATCGTTCCACTTTTTGGAATTCTAATTTACCAACGGTTTCCGGTACAGGCCAACATTTTACCAGATATACAAGAAGAAAACCTCAGAAGGGTTCCAATCCATCCCTCATGTGGTTTCACTCTTCAGTGCCATGCTTTGGACTTACTACGCGCTGCTCAAGAAGGATGCCATCCTTCTCATCACCATCGACACCTTTTGCGTCTTCATAAAGACATTCTACATTTTTACTTACTTCTACTACGCTCCAAAGAAGGAGAGGGTAAGTCTACCTAGACACTACAAAAATTAATTTCGTACTTTTAGCTGGCTAGCTATGTGCATGCTTCATTTCTCCTTTCCTTCACGAAAATAAAGTTTATATTTCAAGCTTGATTGAGAAACGTATTCATTGTAGATTGTGACTGTGAAGCTTATCCTCCTTTTCAATGTCTTCGGGTTTGGAGTAGTTTGCCTCTCCACTCTCTTCCTTGGAAAAGGATTGCGTCTTCGCGTCCTCGGATATATTTGTATGGGATTTGCCTTGAGTGTGTTTGCTGTTCCTCTTTGCATTGTGGTGAGCATAAAGATACGACAGACATACTTTTTGTGTATACTGCATTTTTAACATAGATACGACTGAACTTCTTTGTCTTAATTATTTAACTCTCTATTTTTCAGGGGAAAGTTATAAAGACAAAGAGTGTCGAGTTCATGCCATTTTACTCATCACTTTTCCTCACATTAGGCGCAGTCATGCGGTTCTTCTATGGCCTTTTATTGAAGGACTTGAACGTCGCCGTACGTTACTTAATAAGCTTTGCTTAATATTTAACTCTATTCTCTTAAGACTAAATTTTTAATGCCTTTTTTCTTCTCTGTGGCATTATGTCGACCAGATTCCGAGCGTCGCAGGATTTCTTTTTGGAATTCTTCAGATGATCCTTTATGCCATCTACAGGAAGAAACCCAAGCAGGTGGTTGAAGAGCCAAAGATAGCAGAGCACATCGTTGACATGGTGAAACTAAGCACAATGGTCGTCGTCTCGGAGCTGAGCACACTGGTGCCTCAGCCGACCACCAATGACAACAATGGTGGGATTGTGGAAGCTCAGAAGGTGAAGAAGGAAGGAAGCAATACTGAGGAAACCAACAAGCAGAATATGAAGGGCTCCAATCAAGTTTAACAAACTGTATTTGCATGAACTGGATGTTTCCTCCTCCTGGGTGTCTGTAGCTAGTGTGATTTGCTTGGCATGTACACGTCTAGTGGCCATGCAAGCAATGGAATAATACTGTCCCTTTGATGAATATGTCATTGTTCCAAATTAAAGTCATTGTCTAAGTCCAAAGCAAGGGTTCCTTTTCCCTCTCTGTCTTCTAAATCTGTAATCGTACTAATTAATTTGCAATTTAATTTGTGTTTATCTCATCCCTTTATTTTGCAATTTAATATTTTGAGACTCAAACTTTGTTTAAGAGTGTTGTGATGTTGCTTTATTTTTTTGTTGTCTTTTTCTATCACAAAAATATATAAAATATTAATTAAAATTACTAAACTATATAGTAAAATAGTAATTAAAATTAAAGTTTAGCGCTTGTCAACTAGATTTTAAAAAATTTTGAGAAAAATTATCTCAAAACTATATTGTTTATTAAAACACCATAAAAGAACAAAACTAAAACAAACTCATTTATGTTTAAAAATATTTAGTTTTTTCACCGATAATTTATTAAAATGATATAATTTTATAAAATTTTTAAATATTTTTTAAAATCTACTTAATAAATATTTTTTTAAATTATTATTA